AAAATTTAAATTTAAATTGAAAATACATAATATACATACATTGAGATGGATGGATGGATCAGAAGCTTCCAAACTGAAAATGTAATTTGTTATTATTTTTTTTTGTTTTTTTTTTTTGCATAAGTCTGATTTAATTTATTTATATATCAAACCATAACCTTAAGGTATATAATATATGAATGAATGTGAAGGGCATAAAGACCTAAATGATATTTGCTCCTGTTTGTATATATACATATACATATAGTTGAAATTTATATCACATAGTTGGGATAATATGTAGTCAATGATATTCTATTTGTGGGTTAATACTATATGATTAAATAGTCATTAAAGTTTTTAGAATACTTAAAATATATATGTATAAGCTACTTGATTTAATTTATAGGATAAATAATAATATAATGTTATATATATAGGTATATATTTATTGAAAGTGAGCTATATAATTCACATACGATAATCAATATTTAATAGTTTGTGGGAGCAGATATGTAATATAAAGATAATAATTTAATTATGTATTGGAAAATATTGAAAATTTTAATAAAATTTATTAAAATTTTTGAAATATGTAGCTCTCCTCAAATCGTTTAATTCTAAATCAAATTTTTTTTTAATAATAATTCTTAATTTCAATCTTAAGAAAACTGTTATAACAATATAATTTAAGAAATATTAAGAAATAACAATTAAAAAAAATAATATAATAAAGCAATGCAAAATTTTTCAAATACAATGCATAAAAAAAAAACGGAATAAAAGCTATATTTCAATATTTAGTTTATTTATTATGATATTTAATTATTGCACAAGGGCTTTACGCGTTTTCATATTAGCAAATTTAATAACTATGTCCGACTAATCAATTTTCGATCAAAGGTTTTATAGTAATTCAAATTTTTCTATTGTTAATTGTTTCATTGTGACTTACGCATACAAATAAAAATATTTAACATTTTCTTCATTGAAAACATATTCTGCAATTGAAATATATTTATTTGAAATATTGAGTTGTTAATTTGAGGCCCAGAGAAAATGCCACTCTTGTCCCCCTTTGATAGAGCTTGGCTATTATTCACAGGACAAGTGGCGAACAATCAACAAAATCTAAGATATTATTTAGAAACTTAAATTCACCATGAAATATTGAAATATTGGTAGAAAAAAAAGGTTTGTAAATAAGAATATCAATAACTGGCTTAGAAAATAAATACAAATGAACATATTAAATTAAATGTTCAACAAAATGTCTGCAGAAAGATACATACTCGTACATAGCAAGTTACTACAATATCATTATTGATTAGGTGGTAATCTTTAGCATATTTTCAATTTTGAGCAAAATCTGTAGTAAAAAATCGTTAACAATTGAATAGTTCTTATATTTTGAGACAAAAAAACAAAATTACAAGTTTTTATATTTCATAAGCCTTATTATGAGTGCCAGTTAAAAATAAATTCTATTGTTAACCTTTATATCGCTTTTAAATTGCAAAAGCAACATTGTAATTTCACTTAAATCAAATTTTACTATTCATAAAAAAAAATATATGTAGGTAGTCCTCTATTCTCCTTTTTTTTTTTGTAAAAATTCATTATTCATTAATTTAAAAAACAAAAAATATTTTACATAAGCACCATAAAAATATCATTATAAAAAAGGAAAAAAAAATAATTTTAAATTTAAGTCATCGCATTGCGAAAATTATTTTATTTATATAACATATTTAATATAGTACATACACACATACTCTTGTATATACATAAATGTATATTTATTCGTATAGTAAGATATAAAAATGGAGAAATCTTAAAATTTTCATTAAATTTTTCATTCACAATATGCCCGTTCCTCTTCTGTCTGTTTCTCTCCCTTGCTTTCTTTATATAGTTTTGTTTCATATCTCCTCAATTAATTTTATTTACTTATGAAAATATTTTAATATTCTTTTTTATACATAAATAAATATATAATAATTACTTATGTATAAAAATTTTTTACTTTGAAAAAAAAAAAATGCTTTATTAGCCAAAAATATGCTGCTCTCCTTTTTTCTTTGCCCATTTGCCTATACTCGTAATTTGTGAATTACTTATTTTTTGTTTAAATTTACATTATGTATAATTGCTTATATAAATAAAATGAAGTTAATATTTACAATTAAAATTTAAAATAAAAAATAGTACATACTTTTAATATATAGATTTTATGCGTATAATCTTGTAAAAATTTTATTATTCGGTTTATTCAATTTGAAAACAAGTGAAAAAATAAAGTTTGGAATTTCTTTATAGTTTATCAACCCAATTTTCATCGACTGCATAAGATTATGAAAATTTCCTTTAAAAATTTTTATTTGAAATTCTATGAGAGATAGAAAGTAGGCTCTATAGTTAATGTATCGGAAAAAATGTTAAATTTAGGCTCTTAACAGTTGTTAATTTTTAGTAATTAGATTTCCCTGATAAATTTCCCAGTTAATTTTCTTAGTAACTGCAAATCAGATATTGAATTTCAAAAGATTCAGTCAATTAATTCCTGAGATAGGATCAAATTTTGTAGATACGTAAATTCGACCGGAATTGGACTTATGGAGTTCGACTTATAGAATTCGTATGGTCGGTAATAAGTATTTTTGTAGTTATATAATTATTATTGCTCTATTGAATTAGAAACTGAACATAATATGGACATATTATGTATATATGTATACCATTTTATGTATAAAATTTCTAAGAATTTCTGAGGTAAGAGACAAGAGAATTGTTCGGTAAGAAAATTATTTGTAATATGATTAAAACAAAATATTTCAAACTTCATCAGTTAGAGAATAAATGGATTTTTCAACAATACTATGCCAATATATTCGAAAATTTAATAATTATTTACTTTTTTTGGACACCAATGTGATCACCTTAATATTACAAATTAAAGCCCTATAAATTGTGGACAAACTTTTATAAATCAACAAAAATAAAAGCATACCACTTCATTTTTATGTTGTTGTTTTTTTTTCTTGTTAAAAATAACAACATTCTTGCAGGTTGAAAATGTCTTTCCTTCTACGTACATATGTATGTACATACATATATATTCTTTACACAGTTTTTATTATTTAATTCTAATACAAGATAAGGAAAAATGTTAAAAAACAAAAGGCTTGTTCTATTACAAAATTGTTAAAGGCATATCCTTTTGTGTTAAATTTTATATAGGTATATACACCTTTACCAACATACAAATAAATATACATATTTATACATATTTTTTATTTTTACATTTAATTAATTTTTTAATTGTTCCGAAAACCTAAATAAAATGTTGGAAAACAATTTTTCATTCATCCTGTTGTCTTTGTACATATTTTTTTTTTGTTTTTTCTTGTTGTTTTTTTATATATTGCATTTAAGCATTTTAGCATTTTATTCATCAAAAAGCAATGAACATTACAATAAAACGAGCGGAAAACTAAAAAATGAAATAAAAACAAAAACAAGAAGAAAAAGAAAACAACAACAACAATCGTTCTATTTTGTCTTTTATTACTGTATTTTTACTTCTGATACTTTAAATGACTTCCTTTTTATTATTTTTTTTTTGCCTAGAAACAACAACAAAAAAACTAAATAAATAAAAATGAGAAGAAGAAGAAAACAAGGATTATTAAAATTATTACATTTACTCCAACTATCCAGGTACATATGTATGTAAATAGGTACTGATAAATTTAAAATTAAATTATAAAACAGTTTTGATTAGTGCAACTGCTAGGGTACATTTTCTACCCAAGGATATAATTGTAGTGTTCTATTTAACTAATATATAGTTATAACATATACGATTCCCTACATACACATACACCAACTTATCTAGTAACTAAACAAAATAGATTTTGACGTAAAAATTTCTTATGAAATTATCTATCTATTTAGAAAAAACTGAAAAAATAAAACAGGGGAAAAATTAGATTTTCCATAAAGATCGAATGCTTGGTATTCCGGAGGTACATTTAATGCAGAGAAATATTTTAAGGCCTTTCAGAAACTGTTTGTTTGAACTTTCTCTCTTTTTCAGAACTGAAATTATATTCAAAAAAACCTGGATAAATAAAAATTTCGTGAAAATTCGTTAAAATCTCTGGAAATCAGAAACAGTTGAGATTTGGCACCCATTGCGGAACAAAAGTTTTACCCATTTTCGATCGTCTAAGCAATAGTATATGTTGTTGTATATCTTTCTGAATTATCCTGTATACATATATATACTTTATTACTTTTTCTTAATAAAAATAATTTTTCACTTTGTAGGTACCTAACACTTTTTTCACTTTTCGAAATTTTTGTTTGGTTTGTGATTCTTTTTCGTAAATTAATTCTAAGATATTTTATGTACATATCATAACATTGCACTTTAAAAGTAAAAAAAGACGTACATACTCATGAGTGTGTGTGCACAAAAAATAACTTACATGCATGTATCTAAATTTTTGTAAATGCGTAATACAATTATAATAAAGGAGTTTGTAATTTAATTACATATTTACATACATGACGTTACATCTTTGTAAATTTATGTAAACTGTTTTTATTCAAAAATAAATGGTTCAATAAATTAAAATATAGACAAACTGTAAAAAAATTAAAAGGAATATGTAGTCAGGTTTTTTCAAAAACAATTTTCGCATGAAATTTAAAAAAAAAATTTGGATACAAAAATTGTGTTAAGTATGAAAAACTACATATATAAAGCAACAACCATTTGAAAACTAAAATAGCGAAGACTACAACTATTTTATAAGTGTCAAAAAAGTGATTAAAAAAATTATGACATAAACCAAAAACGGAAAAATATATTTTCTTGTTCCGAATCGATTAAATTCAAATTCCTGAAAAATTCTACAACAATGGAAACACTTATCAGATTTTAACAATGTAAACACACTTTACACATGTGAACACATTTTCTAATTTGACTCATAATATGACATTTACTTGTTGTCAATTAAATGTCATTTTCATCTCCAGAAATTTAACTATCTCAAGAAATTTTAATCTAAAAAAGTTACACGTAAGATAAATAAATATCAAAATAAAATTATGGATGTTAATATGATGGTAAATATTAAATATATTATGTGATATATGTAGCTTATAAATTTATGAATAAATATGTAAATTTTAGGAGCCAACATTAAATATAATAAAAGGAATGTGCATTATGGATAATGATGGTAATAGAATTTTGGCAAAATACTATGATAAGAATGTTTTGCCAACTGTTAAAGAACAAAAAGCATTCGAAAAGAATTTATTTAATAAAACACACCGATCAAATACAGAAATAATAATGTTAGATGGTTTAACATGTGTCTATAAAAGTAATGTGGATTTATTTTTCTACGTAATGGGAAATGCATATGAGAATGAATTAATTTTAATGTCGGTATTAAATTGTCTTTTTGATTCAATTTGTCTTATATTAAAGAAAAATGTTGAGAAGAGAACAGTAATGGAAAATTTAGAAATAATAATGTTGACTTTTGATGAAATTTGTGATGGAGGGTAAATAAATTTTTATAAATTTAGAAATCATACTCTTTTAAGTACATAACTGTGTGGATATATATCTACTCATCTAATTTTTCAATAATTTTTGTTTTTTAGAATCATTTTGAATGCTGATCCATCATCAGTAATTAAACGTGTTGATTTAAGAAACGATGACATTCCAATTGGAGAGCAAACTGTAGCTCAGGTAACGAACGCAATTCATGGGCTATTTTGGTAGCATTAAAACTATTATACAGTATATTTAATAATATATGTATATTTTTTTTCAAACCTGCAAAAATTAAATTTACGATAATCCACCTTTTTTTTTTATTTTATATTTTTTTAAGTATTATATTTTTTTTTTGCTTCTCTGTAATATATAGCTTTAAAAGAAAACATTTTATATACATATTATACTTTACTAACTATTAAAACATGCTCACCAATTTATAAAAGTTTATAAAAATATGTACATACATAATTTTCATAAATAAATTTATAATTTCATATTATTTAAATGAACAATTTAGTTATATAAAATAATGAATATCTTATTAGAGTTAATAAATTTTACAAATAAAATTTTTCTGTTAATTATTATTATTTTTTTTTTTCTATAATTCTCTTTTGAAGGTTTTACAATCGGCGAGGGAACAGCTGAAATGGTCTTTACTTAAATAAATATTTTAAATGTTCTAGTTAAGAAACAAATAATACAAAATAAAATATATTAATATTGGAAAATTCTAATAAAAATTAAAATAATATTTTAAATTGAAATAAAATTGTAATGCATTTAAAAAAAAAAAAAAACAAATGTTAAAAATAATTTAACAAAATAATTATATAATTTTTAAATTGGTTTTTTCTTGTTTTTAGATAAATAATGTAATTTCAAAAATTTAGTCTGCCTCTAAAGCCATTTTTAAATATTTTGCAACTTTTTAATGTTGTGTACTATTTAAAAAGTGGTACGCTGTATACACACATTCAATATCTAAATTTTGTTTAAAGTATTCACTTTTTTAAAAATTATAAAACATTTTCAAGAGTATAAAACATGAACTTCTCCCACTTGCAACAATATTACTTTCCAATTGATGCAATAACTTGGCAAACTTCATTTTCAAGGATAAAAGAAAGAGCTCGTTTAGAATATGAACTTGTATAAATTTCAATGTTTTCATGTAGGGGCCTATTTAAGGTTAAATGTAAAATGTTATTGAATTGACTTAATATACCCGATTTATCCATTTAATAAGCCTTTTTTTTTACTAAATGTTCACTTAATATTTTCTGACATATTTTGTTTAGTTATTTTAATAATAATATTATAGTAACTAACTATTATAGACCAATTCCTAACAACATGTACATTTTTCAAAAATAAAGTATTGTGCTTTATTGACGAGATGAGGCAGTTACATATTTTTCAATAAAATATTAACTTATCAATTGATGATATTCTATCTTCAGACTCGTAATTATTAATTTACTCAATCATACCAAAATGCCTAAAATTACAAATACGTTTCAATAATCAATATTGTTGTATATATTAACATAAATGTACATTCATATTTAATAACATTTATCATTCAAATTCTGATAATCGTATCGTATTAAGAGATGCTATCTTATTCTCCAATATAAATATAAAAAAAAAAAATTACTGAGAAAAAATTTTTCCAAGACGGATCTAAAATTTCTATTAATTTCTATTAACATTAAATTTACCACACATGTACATACGTACACGTATGTTTTGCATATAAATACGTTGGAATTGAATATTTTCATTAAGAGAAAATTATACCTACATATGTGCGTTCATATATTATGTATATTTTGGATAGGAAGCATTTTTAACAATTACTTGTACCAATAATTGTTATCTAATATTACATATGTACATAAATACGCGTGTATCTACATATATTTCAAAATGATATTTAAACTAAAACAAATTTTTGATGTATTTTTATTACTTTTACATGGTAATGCTATCAATGTTAATAAATTTATGATAAAAGACAATTTCTTATCTAATCAATTTTTTTTAAACTTAAATTATACCTTAGTTTGAAATAAAGAAAATAAAAAAATAATTTTTTTTTTCTTTTTCATGAATTGCGATATCAATATGTATGTATGTACGTAAAAATGTGGAACATTATCGTACACAATTCTATATTAATATTTATTTACACATTTATGAGAAAAGAAAAAATTCTTAAATATAAAAGAATCGATTAAAATTTCTTTAGTAATTTTTTTCATTTTCTAATAAAATATTGTTGTTCCTCAAAAAAATATTGCTTTTTGTTCCTAAATTTAAAAATTTAAAAATTTCTATTTATTAAAAATTTTCTAAAATCTCAAATATATATAAGCTCAATTAATCATAAAAGAGATTTCATCGTTAATAAAATAAAAATAAATAAAAATAAAATCAAGGTACATATTTTTATAATTTTAATTTTTTTTAAATTAATCGTAATTGAGTGGAATAAAATATGTACTTTTACTTGGATAATTCTGAAATATTATATTAATAAAAATTATCAATTAAATAAATGTGATTTATAAAATAAATATCAAGGCAGGACTAGCATTAGCACTACATCAATATGAATATTAATTAATAATTAAATAATAATTAAATAATAGAAATGTGTGCAGTAGATTCTAGAGAAATCATGAATTCAATTCTAATTGCTATTATATGCAATTGAATTGCTATTATTTTAAATTGTTATATTTTATTCAAAATTCCAATCCATTTTTGATCCAATTTTTGGTTTTTGAAATCACATATCACCCACGTATCTGTTATATGAACTCATATTAATAATCTTAAAATTCAAGGACAACACATTGACAAACAGATATTTTTGTTTTCTTTCAATTTTAAAATTATAAGATACCTATATTTATCTAATTTATGATAAAGAAGAGAAACAAATCATTATATAAGATAAATTTTTGTTTTCAAGAAAAAATCTCGGATATATTAATTGCAATTTCAAAAAATCTAATTTTTTTTGTAAAAAAATTTTTAAAAAAATTGCAATTTAAATTTTAGGATTTTTTATCATAATATATAGCAAGTGTACACAATATACATATATATAAGAGTGTGCAAAGTACATAATATATTTATAATATTGAATATATAGATTAATTGCGTGCATATACTTATGAATTTTGAATGATTACCTATTTTATATACATAAAAAAAATTTATGTGTCATTTAAGTTTAGATAAGATCAAGCCTTTATTGACTTATTGACCATATCAGTACTAAAGTTCTATACTATTTATTTGAACTATATCATTAAGAATAAAAAAAAATTTATATGCGTATATTTACATACCTGTTTACATTTAATATCACTGTCAAAATATTTCCTGTTATTGTACACATTTCTTGATTATTAAATTAATAAATAATAAATATAAAAAATAAATCAAATTTAAAATAAATTAAAATTGTGAATTTTTTAGAATTTTCTATTTTATTGAAATTGTTTTTATATTTTTGTATATTTGATTTTATAATCTGTCATACCTCTGTACGAAAAATAGTTGAATATATGCAAATCTATCTGTGGTAATAACGCAAAACTACTTAAGTTCTGAATTAATTAAATATTCGATCAAATTAAGAGATTTTAAGCCATTTTTGTAAAAAATTTTAAAATTTCAAGAATTCTGAGTAAAAACGATTTTTTCGAATTTAAGCTAATATATTTAAACTACATATGTATCTCGATTTTCTGCTTGGCTTAAATGTTTTATTAACATTTATTTGTTAAATATAATCTGATTTTCAAAATTATAATAATGATGTCTTCAACTGAACCATCTTTGAATTATTAATTATAAGCGAACTATTTTTGAAGTGAAGCGACTATTGGTGTTCTCATACCGTTATAACAAATTTTATGAATTTTGCCTAATTTAATTGTTTTTTTTTTTTGTTTTAATAAATCATTAATACTGTATTATTATATATTACATTTAAAAAGAAAAAAATTGCCAATTATGCCATATTATCAAATAACAAAATATATAACATAAATAACGAGATATATGTATATAGTATCGTATAATATCGTAAAAATAACGATATTATTCGATAATTACGATATTAAATGATAACGTATTCGACGATATTGAAAATAACGTACGAAATCCAGTGTTTCATATATGATTGGTATTATTTTACGATAATTTTACGATTTCATATATTGGTACTATTTTACGATAATATTATTGAATTTTTATCAAAAATGGGTACAAATTGGTAACAATAAAAAATGAATATTATTAATATAAATAATAAATATCGTTATATATTCAATTATTAAGTAATTTTTAATTTGAAAATCTCGCTATGTTACAATCATTAAAATGGACGGGTCATAATTCATAATTATTTCATAAAAAATTAAAATTTAAATAATATTTAAGTAATAATTATAATTATAATAATAAAATACGTGCTAACCGAAGGATGCCTGTATTATTTTATAAATACATAATATTAAGATGTAATTTTTCGCTATAAAATCGGCAAAACTCAATTTTTATTTTATCAAAATTTCAACAAAAAAAAAAAACACAAATATCCAATTAATTTTGTTTTTTATCGTATTATTGGTGATGATGTGTAGTGAGTACCGTTATCATTATCATATCATCAACAATATTATTATTAATTATATGTGATTTATCATTATACAGGCATCTTTTATATTTTATTTATAGAATGTGAAAAATTTATGTGCCATTCTAAAAATAAAATTTATTAATAAAACAAAACAAGAAATATATAAATATTTCGATTAAATTTTTACCAGACTATATGATATTTAATATACTTATCTTATTTATATTAATAATTAATTTAATTAGAATTAATTAAAATTTTCAAGATAATAATCGAAATTTTTAAATAAAATTATGGTTTTTATGAAAATTTTTAATTTAATTAAAAAAATCCTAAATTTAAAATTAATTAAAAAAAATAATAATTAAAATAATATAAAATTTAATTATAAATTTTAAATTTAATTAAAATTTTTGAATTAAAAAATAGTTTTGACAATAAAACGCACAATATTATGAATCATCTTTGTTTACAAAACAAAATTATCATAAATTATATAAGTTACTTATAAGTTGATAATATTTATGACGGGGAGTTTAGTGTATATTTCACAAAATATATTTAGTATTGTGTATTATTTCAATATTTCTGGTTATATAATTAATATAGAGTATAATTGTAAAATTATTTTTTTATGAAATTTAATACATATTAATAAATCAGCATATACTTACATGGTCACACACAAATGGAAATATAAGGGGAATTTCCATTTAGTTCATTCAATTGTTTATGAATAATTTTGTGTGAGAATTCACCTATGCATATTTTTATTTCATATATCGTATTTAGCAAAATTTCAAAAACAATCTTTTTAATAATGCAATGTTATTAACATTCATAAATTTCCGGTTAGCATACAAAATCAATTTTTTAAAAATAATATACATAAATATGTACAATAAGTATTGGTACATTATGTAATCATTTCAATTATTCAAAAAACTATCAATACGGTCAGAATTTTTTCTATCTAAAAAATTTAATGCAACTATTACGAGCTAAAAAATTAAGATCAACTTCTCAAGATTTAAATTTATTGTACTCAAATAATAAAGTTTTATTTTAAAATGCTAAAGGTTTCTCAGAGATTGAATTTAAAATATCATTCCTAGCTATTATACATACATATATATACACACATATATGTATATTTTATATCTGAAAGAAAATATAATTATTCTATAACATTAATAATAATGCTTTACACTAAAATTAATTATCAAACATAAATTTTTAAAATACCTACATATATATTGTGAGGTTAATGTTACAATTAGATAACACGAAAATTTTATATTTTTAGATAATTAATCTAGGCATCATAAAATCGAATGCTATTTCATCTGCGACCTAATATCTAAATCTAAAAATATTCTTAAATATTTGTTATTGCTAAATCTTTAAAAGTTTAAAACAATAATTGCATGTTATCTAATTGTAACATTAAGCTTACGAATATTGTCGAAATTTTGATTAAATCCATGACATTTTAGCTTTGTACAACAACATCGTGAAACCTAATAATGTGTATACATATTACTATAAATGTAAACATTGACTACACACACATAAATACTTAAATGTTATTACTATCTCATTTCATATGTCATTATAATTATTAAATCCAAATGAATTATCTTCACAGCGTCATTTGTAATGACAATCACTAATTTATAACCCAATCAATATTAGGTTATAATAATAAAAGTTTTTACGCTAATTTTTGAAAATGACGAAATTTTAACTACAAATTTATGTTTAAATTATTTACAAGAATTGCTTAGTTCAGACTAACATCATTTATTTACAATTCTTAGATAATTTTAATTAGATATCTATTCTCGATCTGCATATACATATAACAAACATTTTCAGATAAATCTTTTAAGTAAAACTAAAAATAAATAATATGACTAATGAGAAATTCCATAATATAAGATAAAAAAATAAAATAAATACAAAATATTTTACGTCACAAAATATTGAGCACGCTCTTTTCCTATACTTTTCCTATTTTACTTTGAAATTTTAAATGTATTTTATGTACATATACATATGTATGTATGTATATAGAATTTCAACAGAATTAATCTTATCTATTATTATTATTATTAGCACATTATACTTAGAAATTTTTAGTAATAATATTAATTAATAATGGTAAAATATACGATTAATTATAAGAACAAAAAAAAAAAATTGACGGTGGATTCCTTACTTTTAATAAAATTATTACCGTCTACTTAAAATTATGTACTTAATTCAGTTTTTTTGGATTTTAATTTTAATACTTTTTATTAATTTTGATTTTAATTATTTGAAAAGAGGAAAAATCAGAACTCAATTAAGATATTTATAATTTTTAATCCTATACTCAACTTTAATTTATTAATGCTTGATAATATTTTATGAAATTTAAAAATTCAATATTAATATTTTAATTACAGAAATATATTAATTATATTATCAGAATTTAATACAAAGTCTAGTATATATGTATATATAATTTAGGTTTTTTCCTATCGGAAAATTTCAAATGTAATACGAAAAATTCAACATTACTTGCAAAAATTATTTAAAAATATTATAGATTACGAGTACATATAGGTGACTTACTAAATTCTCATACTCGTATACAAAAATGGGATTTTCTTATTAAAAAAAATCTTAATATTATTCTTAAAAATTAGGGCAATTTAGACTATAATACGTATATCATCCTAAAGAATTAGAATTTCAATAAAATTTAATTTCAATAACAATATATTTATATAATAAATTTCCAATTAGATTTATAATTATTTTATTAATTTTATCAATAGTATTTAACTTGTAAATTAATAATTATTATATTTCTTGAATTAAAATAATTTCATATTTTCATATTTATTTTATTTAAGATGTTAGGTTGCCTTCGTCCTCGGAATGATGATATATTAAGATCACGCCGTTTAGATCAAGAATTACATAAAATGAATCAAGAATTTCAGAATGCTATTAAAATATTATTATTGGGTACAGCTGAATCTGGTAAAACAACAATTATAAAACAAATGAAAATTTTACATATTAATGGATTTTCAGATGAGTAAGTGTAAAATTTAATTAAATTAAAATTTTATTTTAATATACTTACATGTTTTATGTTTATTTTTCTTTTTTTGTTATAGAGAAAGAAGAGAAAAAATTTCTGAAATCCGATGGAATATATTTGAGGCAATTTATGTATTAGTACAACAAATGAATTTATTAAATTTAGATTTCGAATCAAATAGTTGTAAGAAAAGTGCTAATTATATAATAGCTTTAGGTGATAAACCAGATATTGAAGTATTTTCAAATGCTGAATATAAAGATCATATTATTAATTTATGGAATAATCAAAATGTTAGAAATTTTTTTAAATATCGATCAAATGAATTACATTTGAGTGATAGCGCTAAATAGTAAGTTATAAATTTTTTTTTATGTATGTACCTACAAACAGCTAATATGTTAAAATTTTTCTCATCTTGTTTCATTTAGTTTTTTTGATAATTTCGAAAGAATATCTAGTCAAAGTTATACACCATCAACTGATGATATATTACATAGCCGTAAAGTTACAACTGGTATACATCAAATAAAATTTAAAGTGAAAGTAAGTTTTTATAAAAAAAAAAAAAAAAATCAAAAAATTTGTTATTCTAAAAATTTCTAATAAGATTTATTTTATAGATTCCGAAAGGAATGGGAGGCGGTTATCAAGAATTTCGTATGTTTGATGTTGGTGGACAAAGAGATCAACGTAATAAATGGATTCAAGTTTTTGAAGGTATACAAGCAGTATTATTTTTAATATCATGTGGTGATTTTGATCAAGTACTTAGAGAAGATAGTAAACAAAATCGTTTAGTTGAAGCATTAACATTATTTGATCGTGTATGGCATAATCGTTTTTTATCAACAGCTGGTGTTATCGTTTTCTTAAATAAACAAGATGTTATGGAAAGAAAAATTCGTGCTGGTAAACGTATTGGTGATTATTTTCCAGAATATGAAGAATTTCGTAAATCACCAGGAAAAAATGGAAATTTTTTTGATGAATGTGATTGGACGAAAAATTTTATTAAACAAAAATTAATTGTAAGTTATTTGATTGATTAAGCTTATTCAAAATTTCAATTGATATTAAAAAAAAATATATATATTTTTTCTTTTTTATTGTTAAAATTAGGATATAACAAATCAGCCATTAAGAAGACCATCACGTCTTGGATTAGATGATGTACCAAGAGAATGTTATTATCATTTTACAGTAGCAACAGATACAAATAATATAAGAAAAGTTTTTACAGATGTACATAATATGATTTTATCAGAGAATTTGGCATCAGTTGGACTTTTATGAGTAAAACCAAAAGTTTATTAAAATATGATAAAAAATATATTTTTTATAAATTTATTTAAAACAAAAGACAAAAAAAAAAAAGGAAAATTACTTTTTAACTTAAAAATCTGTGATTTTATAACTATTTTAGAACAATTATTATATAAAAACTATAATGCTTTTATTTTATTTTAAAGTAAATATATAATATGCAATATCTAATAAAATATCTAAGATGAATCTTCCAAAAATGCTTCCTTTGGAACACCGCCATTTTCAAGCTTTTCAACAAAATATTTTAAAGCGTTTTCAAAATCCCACTTACCTTCTTCTAAATATCTGGAAAATTAAAATCCACTTTTTATATCTTATTAATAATGAGAATAGTAAAATTATACTTTGTTGCCCACACTTCCTTTAACTTGGCTAACTTTTGAAACATTATTATATAAGCTTTCTTTTCATTTTCATCACTTGCAGTACATGTTAAATCAATTTTTGGTGGAACAAATTTAAAAGAGTTTTTGAAGTGGTTTTCTGTTGGGTTAAATATTGTTAATTGGTCATTTATAATCTCGTATTCAACAGTTCCCTTAAAAATGTTCTAAAAAGAAGAGGAATCACAAATATTTGAATCACAAAACTGAATTGAAAGTTTCCCTACTTAATTGCTATTTGATTTTTAAAATAATTTATTATTATTTAAAATTAAATTATTTACAATCTTAGCTCCACTTACAACTTTAGGACCAGTTGGACATAAAGTAAATGTTCTCGAGAAACCCATTAATATTTCCGGTTCAAAAGCATTATCTTTTGGTATGTCCTTAAAAACTCCAGTAAGTGTTATTACAACCATTTTCTCCTGAAACCATAATAAAAAAAGAAAATTTGAACGATAAAAATGAATGTATTTTAACAAAAAATAATCTCTTACATTGCAAATTGTAGTATCACTTGTAAAACTGAATAAATCGTGTTCAGTTTTTGGAAGATCCTCAAATACTTTGGTAATATTTTGTACGTTATAAATAACGTTCTTCGTATGGCTACTTGAGATATGCAGATTCCTATCATAACTTTTGTAAATATCAAATCTTCTTTCATCCTCATATCTCCTGGGATTATAAGTAAAACAAATAGTAAAAATTGCTTTTTCATGATACATCTCTAAATAAAATACAATAAAATAATTAAAATACTGTGTTGGATGCTCATCTTAAAATTAGTATACCTGATAAATTTGATCTTTTATCAGAATCATATATACGAAAATAAATTCCAACAAATTGTTCAGTAAAATCATAAGCATTTATTGTACAAAGAAAATTTTTCCTATAACTTAATATATTTGAACTATTTTCGATTGGAACTCCATCCTAAATATATATAAATTTTAAAATTGAAGTACAAATACAAAAATTGAAATTTAAAAAATATTTTAATATTATTTTAATTCTATTACCAGTGCTGTTAAATGGGGATTCAATTGGAGAGCATCACGAATATATTTTGTGGCTGAATCATATTTTTTGCATAATGGATTACCATCTAATTTTATCTCTTTCAATGTTATATGGGATATAGGTGATAAATCATCAAAACTTTTGATTCGATTATTATTTAAACACAATATTTTTAAACTTCTCATAGTATTCAAAGCTTTTAGCCCCTTGCAATTTGAAATATTATTATGCCCTAATCGAACTTCGACAATTTGGGATAAAAATTTGCGTCCACATTGTTGTAGAATTGAGCTATAAACTTTTGGATCAGAAAAATCAATATAAAGGTTTTTCATATCTGGTTTTCCATTGAAATTTTCTAAATTTAAACTGCGTTCCATTAGATTATATGATTTACTTGAGGCAACTTCTAATATTAATTTTTCTGGATCAACTTGATCACTTTCATATGGAGCAAAATTCATAATGATTTTCAATTGAATTTCTTCTAAACTTTCAAAGTGAATAAGTTTTAATTCATTCTTCATTAGTAATTCCAAGTGTTCAAAACATTTTCTAACAAGAAAAGTATCTTCACTTGAACCTTCCTTCAAATTAAAGCAATTACTCAAAGAAAAATTTATATGTAAAATTGAAACTTACTTTATAATAACATAAATAAAAATCGTTAGAAATTTCTTGAGAAGCAAAAAATGAAAAAAATTGCTCAGCTATTTCCTCTTTTTTATATCCACCATTGTGAACTACCTGAAGAAAAATATTTCAAAAAAAGAAAAGTAAGATGTATATAGATGAGTTATTTATCCAACATACAGTTATTTGATGCCAGTCATTACTTGCTCTATACTTCTGCATGCCTGAATAACTATCAACTGATACACCAAAACTATTTGTTGATAACGCATCTGAGGATCGAGCGCTCAAGTTTTTACTAAATAAATTGGAATTTTTAAAGGAAACCACTCTATCAGTTTCTATATCCTTAAAATATTAAAAAGCTTTACACTATTTCAATTAGATATATTTAAAAAATATTTTTTACCGATTTTTCAATGTTCGGAAATGTTTTTTTCATAAATGAAACAAAATCTTTTCTATCACAAACTGGATTTCCAGCAAGATATATTTCTGTAAATTGAATGCATGTCAAGAAGTTCAATTGTTGCGTAGTTTGAATGTCATTCTCTTTAAAATTTAACATTTGAAAACGTGTTCTTTCCATAGTCCTAAATCCGGATAAATATTTGATGTTATTATTACTTAAATTAAGACCATTTATTGAATATAGTATATCTAAATTTTTTAAATAAGTAATCAAGTGTTTGAAAACACTCTTATTCCCAAGATTAACATAAATATCTTCTAAATGCGGATGATTATTTAGACTTTCCAAATCCAAAACGTTACGTACTCCATCTTGATTTTTAATTCTTTTTACTTGAATACCAATTGTTTCATGTAATTTATTAATTGGAGATATTTGTCCAAAAGAATACTTTGCCACATTTAAACTTATTTCTAATTTCATAGGAGATTTAAAGCCTGAAACATTTATTATAAGTTTCTTTTCAAATAATTTGTCGAGCGCTTCCCAACACTCCCTAACTAAAAAAGAATCCGCACTTTCACCTTCTTTGTAACCTACAGGAAAAAATTCATTATCTTCAATGACTTCAAAAATTGCATTAAGGATATTTAATTTCGTGAATTGCCTATTATTATGAAAAATAGTAATCAAATGCCATGTTTGCTTTACATTTTTCAACTCAGAGCTATATTTATTTTCGCCGGCATGATATGTAGCGCTTGGGAGAACAAATATTGTAATTGGATTATCTTTTTTGAAATTGAAAGTTACTGAAAATATAAAAATAAATAAATTTTATTAATTAAAACTGTTAAAAGACTTGCACAATTAAAATATTCTTTAAAAATCTTTGAGAAACTTTACACATATTTTTAAACAAATCAATATTGTCTTACTGTTTTGCATTATAGAAATTTTTTTAGTTTAAAGTTCAAATGTAATTTGATTTGAACTATATTATATGTTTTTTTAAACTCAAATTTAATTTTCACATATGCATAAAATATCCAACTTTTTTTTATTATTTTAGTATATTAGTTCTAAATATTAAAATTCTAATTGTAAATTTTAAAATGTTGTTTAAACAACAAGAAAAGAAGAATTAAAAAACAAAGAAAATATTTGATGCCAATGTCACACTTAATTTATCGAAGAGGATTGCCATCCTTGGAATTTTTTCATGTCAAATATCCAAAAATAAAGGCTGTGTTGTTACTCTTTCGCACTTTTGCGTTACTTCTTCAAAACAAATTACAAAAAATAAAAGTGTGACAACGTTGTCACTAAGTCAAATTTTAATATTTTTATATTAGACAGGGATGATATTCGAAATTTTCTTTTCTTGATTGTGCATGAAAAGGATCGCTTCCACATTGCTGAAATTTCCTTGTTTACCGGGTCATATAAATCCGACTTTAGTTGATACAAGTTTTTTAGTCTTTTCTAAAAAGTGCTAAGTTAAAAAAATATTTGGTTAAAAGACATGATTAATTTTTTCAATGAACGATACTTAAAATTTAATTACAAAGTTAAACACTATATGTATGCATATTTGTTAAATTTAAAGTTAGACAAAATGAAATTCAAGTTTTTATATGAATTACTCGAATTTTATTTATATACAATATTTAAAAAAAAAATGCTAGTTTTTGCGCCACCTGGCACGGTAAAACAAATTTTGCATTTTCATTTGATATTTACTATATTTACATAAGTACGTATACCTATCTACGTATATAAATATATGCGCATTTATTCCATTGACACACTTGCGTGAATTTTCACGATAAACACCAAGAACAGCCTTCTTTAATTACTTCTTTTGACTGTGCATTCAACTCTGAAATTTTGTTTTTTAATTTCAAAATTTTTTTATTTTTCTTGCGAGTCCTTTCATTACTTTTGCGAACTAGTTTCAGTAATGTCATGTTAGATTTTGTTATTTTTAAAAAAGCTTTTTTTAAAACTTTTAATTTAGCTTTTCGCCTTGAATTTTTTATTGGTGAGGAATAATCATCTGTGTCGGAACTTGATTCCAAACATTGTTTTAATGTGGTTTGATTAGGTTTGAATTTTTTGGAGAGTGGCTGGGTTTCCACGTCTGATGCCGTAGGGCAACTCATATGTTTCTCATCATTTTCATCCACCTATTCATTCGAATAAAAATAATATTTAAATTTTTTGACATAATTTTTGTATACAAAAAATTTTCGAAAATTAAATCCAAAAATTTACAAACGTTTATAAATTCGGCATTAATTTTTCATAGTTTTTAAAGCTTTGCAGTATTCATTGACATAAAAAAAATCAGAGGCGGTGGGATAGCTAAGTATTGATAATTTTCATGTGTAAATGATTTAATTTTTTTCCCCTTGCAATTTGAAACTTACGTTTGAACCAAAAACAAATGCTGTAGACGTTATATACTCTGTTAGCGGAGAATTGGTTTTTGTTTCAGATGTTAATTCCAAAGTTTTCTTTAATTTTAATGGTGCATTACTATTTTTAAATTTTCCAGATTGTTGTAAAATTTTATTCTTCAATGACAACAAGCCAATATTTTCGTCGTCTTCGTCATTTTCTTCACCTAACTATTTATTCAAATTAATAATTATATTTAAGTTTTTTTTTGTAGGTAGACACTTGTGCTATATTAACTTAAACTTACAGTTGAACAAGAAACAAACATTATAGGCATTTTATAAGGTTTTTGCATTTTAGAAGGTTGTTGAATTTTTTTCTTTGATTCCGGCAATTTAATACCTTTCTCAATTTTTTCGGTTATCTAATTATTAAAAAAAAAAAATTCTCAAATAATATACTGTAATTTTCTACTTGTAGTATATATGTAAGTATGTAGGCTTACTGGTGGACCTACGCGTATTGTAGGTATTGCATCTTCTGACAATGTTAAATGTTCCCCTTCTTCAATTAAATATTTTTTTTTGAAATGCATAGAACATATTTCCATTTCGTTAGCTAAATCATTTTCAAGTTTCAATAATTTTTCCCATTCTTGCTTACGATTTACATCTTCAGGAAATCTGTTAAAATAAAGATCACTTATTACATATATTTCTTAAAATGTATCACTTTTTATTTAATTACTTAAAAAAACTTATTTTTCCACATTTTTTTGTGCTAAAACAAGATTTTACACAACATATTGTTTCACAACTATTTGCTAAAAATATAAAAATATTGAAATCTTAAAGGCAAATGTATATTTATTATTTGTAAAAGTGTGAAGTATAAATTCATGCTACAATTTCAATTTTATAAAAAGTAGTTTTTTTTTTGACTTGGAAAAGCCTATTCTTATTTCTTGATCGGAATGTATAATTGTTGTAAAAATAGAATTAAAGTGCTCATAGCAACAATTGCGTTATCGGAAGCGGTGGATGATTTCCTTTAACATATAACAACAGCGGAAAAACCAAGTGTTTAGTATTTTGCAAACAATTTTATTATATTTGCATTAAATGTCATGCACATTTTGAAACATATGTCAAAAAACCACCAACGGTGAAATAGGAATTTGGGATATCCTACCACCGGCGCCGCTCTTGTTGTGTTCTCAACTTGTAAACTACTTTATTCGTAAATTGTACTAACCAAAGCGAAATACTTTTACTTTATTCAATAAAAAATTGATCAACACAACCCTTGACATATTTCTGATGATTTTTTTTCACTATGTCAAAAAATATTTCTCATGACAACAAGAATTTTAGATGAAAACAAAATATAAACAAAAGTAATTGAAATTTAAATTTGTTCATTTTTCATGAAATACCTTAAATTTATGTATGATAATTGCTATTTTCTTTAAATAAATAAGTAAAATGTAAGTTTTTCGGGTTCATTTAAACGATGAGTTCTATTAAAAGTATTTAAATCAATTTTCTTTTAAATAATTTTGTTTAAGATTAAAATGAAGTTTTACTTTTAGGATTTTATCAAAATATAAGAATTTACATTCAATTGCTATGTGTTCTGTTTCTCCTTTTAATTCATGATTACACTCCTCCCGTGATTCAATACTATTTATTCGAGGTGGTAAATTTTTCGACGGTACGGCTCCCGGTTTTAGTCGCCTTTTCATTAAGTCTGTTTTTAAAAGAATATCCTGTAATCTGTAATCCTCATCTGCAAAATGATTTTGGCATACGCGCATATTATCCTGACGTTCATTTACTTCAATCCCACATGCTTTTACCCATTTTCTAAATAAACTTTTGTCCGAAGGAAACCTAAAAAATCTCATATTTCTTATCGACTTTTTATATGGATAATTTCCACAATTTTTTACGAAACAACTCATTTTTTTTTTTTTTGTAAATATTTAATTAATATTTTAGGTATAAAAAATCAATTAGTTGAAAGGGTTTTTAATTAATAAACACTAATTGTCTTATTAATTTAAAAATTTTAAACATAAAACCAAAAATTATTAAATTTTCTAATTTAGAATAAATATAAACAAATCAGCTGTGAGTGGCTAGTGATGGGCACATTCAATTAAAAATATTTCAAAAAAAGATACGATACAGAAAAAATTCGATACTTTCAGAAGAATCTTTAACATGTTTAGGTTCTTTCACGGTGAAATTTGAGAATAAGCCTGGAAGCTATTATTTTAAAATGGCTTAATTAAAAAATAACTAAATTAGATATATTTGATTTTATTATTTTGTACCAAGTTAAAATTTAATTCGGTCTCGTAACATGGCTTTGTGTTCGAGAAAATATGTAGCGGTGATGTAAAGGTGTAAAAGCTATGACTAATTATATAAACTATGGGTCGACTATTTTTTATTTTTTGGAATTCAGTTATTTTTGCTTTGAAAAAAATAACACAACTGACATTATATATTTTAAAAAACAAATTTAAAAAAAAAATGGACTTAGGATAGTTCTGCTCTAGGCAGACAAACTGATGTTATAAACAAAATATAAACAGATGAGATATGTCAAATTATAATAAAATATCTGGTTATTTTTTATTGTAATATTATTCAACCGGTTAAAATTATTCAAAATATCAAAACAAATGACTTTCTCTAAGTTTAGTAAAATATTTATAAATAAAAATAATTTAAAATTTTATTCATCTATTAAGAACGTAAAAGTTGTAAAATATACAGATACGATAAACTTACCAAAAACTAAATTTCCAACAAGGTTATCGGCAGCTATTAGAAACGAGGTTGAAAAATCTATTATTGAGGTAAAAATTTTAAATTAAAATAATTTTTATATTAATTTTTACTTTTTAGAAAAAACTCGCTCTATTATATAATTACCAACAAGAACACAAATCGAAACCAAATTTTGTTTTGCATGATGGTCCACCATATGCTAATGGAGATCTTCATATGGGGCATGCAGTAAATAAGGTTAAAATTTTAATCATATATTATTCCCATATTTTGCTAAATTATTTCGTTTTTCTTTAGATATTGAAAGATATTACAATTAAACAAAATATAAGTAATGACAAATCTGTTCATTATATAGCTGGGTGGGATTGTCATGGACTGCCAATTGAGCTTAAAGCGCTTAAAGGAGATTCAAAATGTAGTCAAATTAAAATTAGAGAAAATTGTAAAAAAAAAAAGTTATTTTAATTTTTTATTATAATTATTTAAAGTTACTGTTTTCTATTCAGCACGTAAATTTGCATTGCAGACAATAGAGAAACAAAAATCTGAATTTAAATCCTGGGGAGTAACGGCAGATTGGAATAATCCAAATAACTTATATAAAACTTTAAATCCTCAGTTTATAGAAAATCAATTAAAAGTGTTTTTGAAATTCTATGAAAAAAATTTAGTTTTTCGTGATATGAAGCCAGTTTTTTGGTCGCCTTCTTCAAGGTACTAAATTACTATACTTATTTGAAAAATTATTTATCTTAATTATTATAAGTATAAATATGCATTCAGTTGTTTCCTATTTTTTCAGAACAGCTTTGGCAGAGGCGGAGCTAGAATATGACTCAAACTTCGAAAGTCCATCAATAATTTTGAGTTTAAAAGTTAATGAGTTGCCAAAAGACCTTAAGGTTAAATTGTCTAAAAATTTGTTTGCTTTAATTTGGACAACAACTCCGTGGACTTTGCCTTCAAATCAAGCAATTTGTTTCAATCCAAATTTGAAGTATAGTATATGTAGCTTTAGTGACGGCGAAGATAAATTATATTTAATAGCAACTAATTTGATAGAACAATTCAAAATAATGACAAGTTTGAATTTGGAAATTAAAGATGAAATACTAGGTAAGATAAACAGTCAACATTGTCCTAAATTGAATTTTATTAAAAAATATAATATAATAATTAATTGACTATAAAAGGAAGCGCTTTAAATGGCTGTACATACTTTCATCCTGTCGAAGTAAACTGCGAGCTACCATTTTTACCAGGTGAACATGTAACAGACTTTAAAGGCACAGGTTTGGTACATACTGCTCCAGCTCATGGACATGACGATTTCTTAATCGGACTGCAAAACCAAATCAAAATAGTAAGCGCCCCATTAAAATTTGAAAAATTTGTTTGTCTTATCTAATAAAAATTATTAGAAAAATTTCATTGATGACTCTGGAAAATATACAGATGAAGCTCCAAAATTTCTTATAGGGAAACATGTTCTTGATGAAGGGGATAAATTGGTAATTGACTATTTACACGAGAATATATTATTTAGCGGAAAAATAATACATTCATATCCCATCGATTGGAGAACGAAAAAACCAGTTATTATTAAATCAAGTGAGCAGTGGTTCATGAATACAGAAAAATTAAAAGAAAAAGCCATAAAAGAGGTGCCTTACTATATCTAAAAATATATACATTTTATTTAAAAAATAAAAAAAAATAATTTCATTGTAGATCGAAAAAGTGCATTTTTATCCAAAAATCAACGCTGAACAATACAGACGAGCTTTAACAACTCAAGTTATGAAACGTCCCTATTGGTGTATTTCGCGACAAAGGGTTTGGGGTGTTCCCATACCTGTATTTTATAATAAAAATTCAGGAGAAATTATTATCAATGAGTAAGAAAATTTTTAACTGATTTTTTATCAACTTTTAAATAAAATGTTTCTGAATAGGAAAATTATCGGAAAAATATGTGATACAATTGCTAAAGATAAAAATATTGATTTTTGGTGGACAAAAGATACTAAAGATATTTTGAGTGAACAATTACTTAAAGAATTAAATTTAAATGCTGACGATTTGGAAAAAAGTCACGATATATTTGATATTTGGTTTGATTCTGGTATTACTTGGTTTAGTGCACTAGAAGGTAACAAAATTGCTGACATGTATTTAGAAGGATATGATCAATTCACTGGTTGGTTTCAATCATCTCTTTTAACAAGTGTTGGCTTAAGAGAATATGCTCCTTATAAGTAATTATAAATATAACTTCTTTTTGTGTGTCACAACAATAGTTTCGTTTCTAGATCAATTTTTGTTCATGGCTTTACAGTTGATGAAAAAGGACATAAAATGTCTAAGTCATTAGGTAATATAATTTCTCCGAAAAATATTATAACAAAATATGGTACAGACACTCTAAGGTAATTTCTTTTGTTTTAGAAATAACGAACTTTTAATGAATTTTATATATTATTTAAATAGATGGTGGGTGGCTTCGCATGGAACACAGAATACATCAATAACAGTTAGCGAAACTTTACTTAAAAGTTCTGCTGAAAATGTTGCGAAAATTAGATCTATATTAAGATATTTAAATGGTGCTTTAGGTGATAATTCAAAATTTTCACTTGATAATATTAAACTTGATGTCAATTCTAAGCTTTGCTATTTAGATAAATTTATGTTAAATGAATTACATAAATTTGGTAATGAAGTAAGTAAAATTGTATATATTTATATGTGTACGTAGATTATTTTAAATAGAAATATTCCTATTTGTATGAATTAATTATAATAATATGAATATAAATTAATTTTTTTTAGGTTACAAGTTATTACAATGCCTATGAATATAATCGGGTAATAGCAACGTTACAATATTTTATAACAAATCAATTGTCAGCAATTTATTTGCACATAATAAAAGATCGATTATATTGTGGAACAAATGATGATCGTAATCAAATAAAATATGTTCTAAAACAATGTTATGAAGTATTATGTAAAATGTTATGGCCAATTATTCCATTTACTATAGAAGAAAGTTGGAGCTATTATGGTAAAAAATCTTTTTACAGCATCTGATTTTATCTTAATTATATTTTATATTTATCATGTTAGATAAAACATCATTTTTTGAAAACAATATTATAATGAGAGAAGAATGGAAATCAAACGAAATAGAAAATTTAATAAATTTTATATTTGAATTAAAAAAAAATATATATAAACATGTGAAAGATGTTAATACATGGACCCTACAATGTGAATTGTTTTGTAACGCTGAAGAAATAAAATTGATACAGGTGAAAATTTTATTTCACTTTTTTTCAATTAAATAAATTAAATTCCTGGAATAATAATAATTATTTTTTACTCGTTTTTTTTAGTGTTTGCATCCAGTTTTATGTGAACCTGACAATTCTTCAGAATTATGTGAAATTCTGCAATTGTCAAGCATTAATTTAAATTTAAGTAAAAGTGGAAATTTGGAATTTACTTTAAAACAAATTGATTCAACTTTATGTCCTAGATGTAGAAGATTTCCTTTAGAAAATCATAATACACTGTGTAATCGTTGCATGATATTAATAAATAAATAAATAAATAATTGAAAAGAAAAACGTTTAAAATATACATTTTTCGTATATTTTTTAATACACTTTATTGTTTTGTACAATAAAAACCTAGTATAATTTTTATAAAATTCTTGAAATAAAAACAAATACATTCAAGTTTTAATTCAGAAAATTAATTTTTTATTAATTTTTATTTTTTTAATACAAATTGCAATTAGACGAATATTTCCAGAGTATGAAGAAATTAGTGTAATATTAATATAAAAGAATATTTGATTTTAAATAAATAATCTTAAAAGTAAAATGTATGTAATAAAAAAAATGCTTTGTAAAAAATGTAAAATTGTCTGTCGTAAAATCTGGTGCACTTGTCGAGTTTGGAAAACAGTGCTGTTTCAGAAAGTATCATTTTTGTACTTTTTTTTTATTTTGTTAAACGATTCTTATTTGTTTTTGTTTTCGTTTGATTATGTGTACACAAATTTTTATTTTTTAGTTAAACTTAAGTTATTTAGTAGGTACTGTCCTATAGTTTATTTCAATTAAATTTCTTTTTACATGTACATATATATACATTATATATTCTGTAATCGGTTGCTGAAGTCAAAGTTCCATTGTGTCTTAAGTAAATTAAATTATATCGTTTATGTTTTTGTTCTGTGAATATAGTAAATCAAAATTTGAAAATTTGTCGTATTTTGTTTTCAATGAATAAAAAGTAATAGAAAAAAATAAAAAAATTTTATTTTATATAAGATATAAATATACTTACAACTTTTGATGCCAGAAATCTTATTCTTCAACTTCCAGTAATCTTTTAATTACCTTTAAAACCTACATTTGAGTCTCTAGGTGCGTCGGCTACCATTACCTACAATAATAAAAAATTTCCAAAAAGTTAATTTAAAAAAATATTTCATTTACATATATTATTAACAATTTACTTTTATTTTAACACCACATATTTCCGCATCATTTAAAGTTTTAATAGCTAATTCAGCACTTTTTGCACTCCCATACTTAACATAACCGCAGTTTTTGTTATGTATCATATATACACTAATTAAAGATCCAAACGTACAAAAAACATTTTTTAAAATCGGTATTGGTACGGTCTGAAATTAATTTTGTATGAAAATGTATAAATAAATAAAATATGTATTGAATATGTTACCGAAGATAAAACTATAAAACAACGTGCTGCACAGTATGCATCAGGATCTAGAATTGGTTTAGGTGATTGAAGTTTTACATTACAAAACCAATCTTTTGAAAGTTGATCTAAAATGATTATTAAATATTAAAAAATTTAATATAAATTTAGAATATAAAATATTTTTACTATCATAAGATTTTATATCATGGGAGTCCTTTGAAAGAATACGAACAATCAATCGTTGACCTGGTGGATATTCTAAACCATGTAATTTTTCTTTTGCATATTGCGCCGACTCTGAATTTGTATAAACAACTGTTACGCTTTGATCTTTTGGTCCACCTAATTAAAACAATTAAATAATTATTTTTATAAAATTATAGACATTTCAATTTTATACATCCTTCCACTATTTGACAATAATCTAAGCCAGGTATTACATCGAATAAACGCCAAAGTTGATCTTGATTTAATAAATTACTAGATATTACTTCAAGAGTTGCAGGGCTTGCATTTTTTTGTTTTGATTTTAATAAATCAGCGAAAGTGATGGTGGGATGTTCAACATTTTCAAATTTTTTAATTCCAGTTTTTATATCTCTTGAATTATCATCTACTCTTGGTCTTTTAACCGACTCATCACGACTTTTATAATTTTCTTCATCTGTTGGTCTTGGTGTGGCAAATACAGCCTTATATTTTTGTGGGGAGTTTTCAAAAGCTAATGCAGCTCCAAGAAACCTGCACAAAAATCCATATTAATATTCAAATAATTTTTTTTAGAAAATTCTTAACAAACTTTTTGTATTTAACATACGCTACACCTTTTGACTCTTTTGTTTTTTTATCTTTTACTATGACAACTGAATCAATTTCACCATGTTTGCTGAATTCTTCAATTATTTCGTTTTTTGTAACAGATTTTCCAACTAAAATAAACAGTCTTAAATATCTTTCTTCATCATTATCTTTTCTCGACGTTCCTGAACCCCGACTTGATGCTACAAAAACTTTAAGAGGTTTTTCACTTTCTGCTATTGTTTTTCCATTCATTTCTTCCAAAGCAGCTTAATTAAATTGAAATTATTAATCCCTTTTGATAATTTTTTAATATATGTATTTATGTTTTACCAGCAGCATCACTTGTTTTTATGAATTTAACATATGCTATTCCTTTATTTTCACCAGTGTTCTTGTCTTTAACTAACCATATATTATGAATATTACCAAATTTTGAAAATTCCTTCCTAATTGCTTCTTCCGTAGTGCTAAATATAAAACAAATTTAATATGAAAAATTCAATATGTATTTGTTTTTACCTTTTCCCGCATATTATGAATAAACGAGACATTGGTGGGCTATCAGTATGAGATTCTTCAGTTTCCATAATTAAAGTAATTTCTAATGTTTAACTTTTTGATTGAACAGAATTTTTAATATTGTTAAATTGTTGGTTGCTACAAATATTGTTTAATATTTTTTACGACTTAACAAATTAGATACTATACACTTCACTGTCAAAAAATTAAATAATACAGTGTCCGCACAAGCAACAATTTTTGTCTAATCATGACATATTAAAATATTTCAAAAATCAATTTTCAGAAAGTTTTTGTTTCTTTATTTTTAGTATTTCGTTGGCATTACACAATACATTATAACTTATGTAATTGATCTGTTTTAATTTCAATTATTTTTGCTGTTTACAATAACTTATGATTACTATTTTCCAGTGAATTTTTTTAAATAAAAAAAGAAATGTTTCAGAAAATTAGTAAAAAACTTGGAATCATGCTGATAAGAACTTAAATTACATTTGGTACCAAGTACCTACTATAAGTAATCGAAATTCGTATGTGCCATGTACTCGAATATAGATTAGATCAGTCTCGTTTCCTTTCAAGGTTATGTTATTCCTAAAAACTTTGTTTACAATTCATTTTTGAAGTTTAAATTAAAATAACTTATTTATATTTTTATTTTTAAAAATTATTCTTAAATATACATTGTAATCATATAGCTTAAAATATAATACAAAAAAACAAAAATGGTTATAGCAATGGGCCTTGAAGGAAGTGCCAATAAAATTGGTGTTGGTATTATGAAAGACGGTGATATATTAGCTAATGTAAGAGAAACGTATATAACACCACCGGGTGAAGGTTTCTTACCAAAAGAAACTGCACAGCATCATAGATCTAAAATATTAGGCTTAATAAAACAAGCTCTTAAAGTTGCTAACATTGAACCAGAAGAAATTGATGTGATTTGTTATACGAAGGGTCCTGGAATGGCACCACCTTTACTGACTGTAGCAATTGTAGCACGAACAATTGCTCAAATTTGGAATAAACCAATATTAGGAGTAAATCACTGTATAGGGCATATTGAAATGGGGCGTTATATTACGAAAGCTGACAATCCAACTGTTTTATATGTTAGCGGTGGTAATACGCAAATAATCGCTTATTCGAATCAACGATACAGAATTTTTGGAGAAACTATTGATATAGCTGTAGGTAATTGCTTAGATCGGTTTGCAAGGGCAATAAAAATTTCAAATGATCCTAGTCCGGGTTATAATATAGAGCAGATGGCGAAAAAAGGAAAAAAATATATGAAATTACCATATGTGGTTAAAGGAATGGATGTTAGTTTTTCTGGTTTATTATCATTTATTGAAAAAGAAGCTGTACCAGATAAGTTTAAACCGAAAAATCAAAAACGAGTTTCGGAGTCTGAGGAAAAATATTCTGATGAAGACCTATGTTTTTCTTTACAAGAAACTATATTTGCAATGTTAGTGGAAACTACCGAAAGAGCAATGGCACATTGCAATTCTAATGAGGTAATTTTGAATGAATTAAAAAAAATTGAGATTTAATTTCTTAATAAACAATAAAAAAAGGTTTTGATTGTTGGTGGAGTTGGATGTAACGAACGTCTCCAAGAAATGATGCGAATCATGTGTGAAGAAAGAGGCGGAAAACTTTTTGCAACTGATGAATCTTTTTGTATCGATAATGGATTAATGATTGCACAAGCTGGTTTAGAAATGTTTCGTTCCGGTACCAAAATGAATTGGGATCATGCAACAATTACGCAAAGATACAGAACAGATGAAGTTCTAGTTACATGGAGAAAAGATTGAAAAATTAATAGAATTCTTAATATATTATGTTCTTTTATTATTGTTTGTATATTTTTATTGTATGTATTTATAAAAGATTCAAATTTTGACCTTATATTTTTATATAAATTTTTTTGAAGATTTTTAAAATCTTAATCAGAATCTTCTATTTCATATATGACTCTTTTAGCTTGTTGACGTCTACTGGTTCGACTTTGTGTTGGTTGTACACGTTCAGGTATATCTGAAAAGGAATCCTTAATTGAGGGTTGCTTTGATCTTGGTGATGGCTTAGTTGTTTTCTGAAATAACAATCAAAAATTTTGAAAATTGAACAAGATTTAATAATCAATAACTTACTTTTGAAACTGTACTAACATCTAACTCCATTTTCTTACTTGCTGGGGCTGCTTTACCACGTCCTTTCCCGCGTGTTGAGGTAGTTTTTGCAGATGCTCGGGTATTTCTTTTAGAGTCCGTTTCATCTAATGGATCTCTTTCACTTACAAACATAACTTCATCATCATCGATTACATCATCTTCTTCCGCAATTTTCAATTTTTTTGTTAATCCTTGTTCCAAGGAATTTAAAATACTTTCATAATTTTCATTTGCTTTATTTTCCTTAAAATCAGTTAACTCTTGCTTAGTTTCCTCTTCATTTGGAAGCTTTTCCATTAAATGAGATAATGCTTTTTCTTTGTAAAGGCTGTAACAGTTATAATTTAACATATCAATAAAATATGATTTTACAAGTCGGAGATAAGACGATAATTACTTCACAATGGTCTCGGCAGCATCAATGTCGTTTCTTTCTGCTAATCTGTAACACATTTCCGACAATATTTTTGTTGGAAAAATTTGGAGCTTCTTTTGGTCATCAGCTTCCTCAAAATATCGTTCAACAATGTCCTCAACTTTAACAAGGTCCTATGAAATACACACTATAAAAACAAACAAATTTAAAGTTTACACAATTTGGTTTACCTCAGTTTCCATAATTTTCTCCATAGCAGATTTATCAAATTCAGGATCATTTTCTTTTAATTTTTTGAATCCTCTTTTAAATAAAACACAATCATTGGAGTTTGCAATTCTTTGATTATATTGCTGACCAAATCTTATAGTATTAAACATTTGTTGCTCATCTGTATACACCATCCTTAATCTGATTAATGGTAAAGTAGGTTGTTTGGGATGGCCACTAATTTGTTCCTGAGATTCGTTAATCATTTCTTCAATTATTTTTCTTGCTAAATTTGTTACTTTTTCTTCTGCCCCACCTTCATCTAGATGATACTCTTCAATATACTCGGCGAGATCAATAGATTTAAAGATAAATGGTCTAACAGTTTTCAAAGGCAACCTTTCTATATCAAATTTGCTTTTATATATTTTTAAAATAGCGCAATGTTTAGGTCTAGCTTCGCCTTCTGATAAAGAAGTTGCTACTGATGATCCCGGTTGACAAACATAAAATTCCTGTTCATCGTTAACTTCTGGGACAATTCGACAATCATGTTCATGACCCCATATTACAAGATCTAAAAAGTTAGGTAAAATATTTTCTGGTAAATAATTTGTCGGTCCTCGATCTGCTCTATTTTGATGTAAAACCATCAAATTAAACCATTTGCCGGTTGATTCCGGTGGAGTTTCCATGACAACTTTTGAATCACGAAACAATCTGGCTAATCTAACATCTCGTATATGACTTAAACCGTACAACGCTAATTGTGTTTCACCTTTCTTTAAGAGTATAGGGTTAATTATAATTTTTTGTGAATCAGTAGATTTCCCAAAATAGTTCACTAGACCATTTGTAGATAATATATCCAATGAACTTAAACCAGCAAAACCACTAGGATCATCATGATTACCATGAATTGAGAATATTGGAATGGATATATTTAAATTAGGATCTTCATAATTCACAGTTTGGTTAAGAGCATCTACGAAATTAACACTTTGATCGCTTAAAAATTCCAATGAAATTGGTTTGTCTCCAAATGTTACTCTCCTTAAAAGTCTCATACACCTTAAAGTTACAAAAGTATAAATGAAAACTTACTAAATCATACTTAAAGAACAAAATACTTGTATAAAGCGTTTTGGGAAGGAACTGCGTCATGGAATAAATCACCCCCAAGTAATATAAAATCAACATCATTTTCCACAGCTAATTCAAGAATTTCTTCAAATGCCACAAAACTATCATCACCTTAAAAATTATGGCACATATGAATATTCTAAATATTTTTTTATCTATTCAATTTCTTAAAAATAAATTTTACCTCTGATATCATCTCTTTCTAGATAACCCAAATGATTATCAGTCGCTATCATTATTTTCATAAACTCATTAACGACTTCCTCTTCATTTCCTAACTCATTCGGTGGCATTTTGAATATGTTCTTATATTTATTATGTATTTAAATTTAATTTTTTAAAGTATAAATATCTTACAAATTTTTGTACAGAATATCGGATGCTGACAATTTACAAATTTATACTAAAAACTGAAATCAACACCGGAATCGCGATGCCAATTGCCAGTAATTAAAAATTAAGTACATTTTGCAAACTTCAAAATTAATTGTTTTTGACATTTTGTTTTTATTCCATCTATTGTTAAATATTTAAATTATAAATTTTTTAGTAACCGATTTCTTTTAATGAAAGATTTTGTAATAAGTTATTATTCTAATTCTTAGTGTAACTAAAAAGTGAATTACATAAAATTAATTTGCAAAATATTTTGTAAATAAAATTATAGACAAACATAATATTTGACACTAGGTGATATTTAAAATGATATTCGTTTTCTAATATATTATGCATATATTTTCGTAAAGCATGTATGTACATAATATATAATATGAAAAATCACAACTTTTCCAAATAATCATTGAAAAAAGAATTAAAGTTACATAAACTGAATAACATTTTAAAATGCTATTAAATATGTTAAAATTACTTGCTTTTCAATTTAATGGCAATGATATTGTGACAATTTAATTGCATAATATTTTAAAGCTTAAAATAATTATTATTGAGAATGATATTTAATTTGTTAAATAATGTTAATTTCATTTATATTGCATATGAAATTCGATCAACTGATTTAAATATTTTATTAAATACATATATGTAACTGTGTCACTGTCATTATTGTCTAACCATATTAGTTTAGTATCAAATTTCTTAATATTGACATTTTATTACATGAATTATTTTTTCAGATACATGTGTGAATACAAACGAAATGTATGATTTTGTTTTCTAAATAATAAGTAGCTATGCATATATAAATTAACATAAATAAATAATATAAAAATACATATATACATATTTAATATTATAACAAATGCATTTTCTATGTAAAACACCTGGTATAATGGCATAGCATAATACATTCAATATAGTATTATTTGTTTCTTATAAATTACATTATGTTAAAAATTATTTTAAATGTTAAGCGAGTATATATATGTAAATTTTAATAGAATCTTATTTGTGTTTATAAAAAGTAAGCAGGTGTGTACTGATTACCGATAAATTAGAACATTCTTAAAGTTTTTAAATTTATAGAAAAATTTTCTTTATAAGAAGTTCGGAAAAATTGATAGCAAGTATTTTAACTTTAGCGACATCTCTATTTACATAAAAATGAGACTGGTTACATAAGAACAAATGATTTTGCTTCAGCGACATCTGGTTATTTATGTAATAATTAAAATAGTTTTTGATGAAAAATTTTTTGCTTTTTCAGAAATTTTTTTTTATCAAAGTGTTAAATGTAATTTTAATTTAAATCTTATTTTTATTTAAATTTTAAATTGCAGAGTAAATAAAACAGTAATAAAAATTGAAAAGTAAGTTATACATATGTACAAATATTTTAATAATTTATTTGTATACCGGTTATAACATTCATTTTCTCTAGTCCTATATGAGTATTCGCTATAACCGATTTCTACTGTATTATAATATTTGTTATTATAACTTTGTACATATGTATGTATATTTGTGCATCTTTAGTAAAGTAAATGAAGCATTGTATTAATTATTATAATATTGCAAGCATCTTTAAAATTCTATTAATGAAAATTGTGTCTGTTTTGCATAGAACCTATAAAACTTGTATTTAAAAATTTTAGTGGATCATAAAATAAAAAATTATAATATTGAAATTTGAAACTTCTGTCTTAGACTTGCATAATATGTATGTATATGTGCATACATATACCTATGTATATATATTCTGCAATTAACAATATTTTCATGGCACATACATATATAAGTAAGTACCTAATTTCAATGCAATTTTAATCATAATAGTATCAAATACTATGTACATATATAATGCATATACAATATTATTAAACATAGAATTGTAATAAATATCTATTTATATAAAAATATCAATTTCATTCAATGTACATACATATATAAATTGATTTTACATCAATAAATTTAGTTCAGTTTTAAATTGAATTTTAAACATATTTTATATTAAATTAAAATATTTAAATAAAAAACAAAACAGTTTGTTATCTATGGCTTTTCGTGGTAAAAATGCTGTTGTTACTGGTGGTTCCAGTGGTATTGGATTAGAAGTTGCAAAACAATTATTGGATCATGGTGCTTCTGTAATTATTTTTGAATTTTTATTTTGTTATACAATATATACATACATACATATGTAGAGTATATTTATGATTACATTGTGGTTAATTAAAAAAACTAATTGTTTTTGGGGTGCAAATGTACACGTATCCCAAAATTTTATTATTAAATCAAATAACAAATAAGTTTAAAGTGTTTTTATATATAATTAGTAATTACATAAGTATATATTATTTATTAATTACAGTTTTAATAATATAGTTATATAAAATATTTAAATAATTTTTATAATATTTGAGTTTTTTATCTGAAATTAATTATATTTTTGAATATATACAAAAAAAATTTTAAAAGTGATTATAAAAATGTTCTAATTTTAAGTGGTGCATGAAATTATAAAATATTTTAATTTGATATATAAAATTGAAAAATATTTAAGTAATTAATTAAATATACCACGAAACATCAATTATTAATTAATTAACAACATAACCTAAATGTTGAATAAAATGTGTTTTTTTTTTTATTCAAAAGTGCATTGAAAAATATTCAATTTAATTCGTGAAGTGAATGAATTGTATCAAAAATATTATTTGAGTATATATTTTAAAATCAATAATAAGGACTCTGGGCTAAAAATATATTTAATATTTATACATTAACAATTTAAGTTCTTGTATTTAATGTATAATTAATATTAGAAAGTAATGAATTTTTAGGATAATCAAAAAAATTATGTGATCTTAACGTTTAAAAATTGTAATGTGCGAATCGTATACATGTATATAACGTTATTTATTTGTATTATACCTTATATGCATATGTAAAATTAGATTTGAATTAACTTTGAAGAAAATATCAAATAACCAAGGAAATTTTACGGTTATTTGATTCTTATTAAAACTTTCTTATATTTCACAAAATAACCTTGGCTCTACAATTGAATCTCAAGTAAAACTTTTAGTTTACTTATACTTACTCTTATACATTTATTCGTGTGTTTTTTTTAACAAAAATGTGCTTTTTTGAAGTTTCCAATTGTTTGTATACATATATTTATGAATGCAAGTCTACACGTTTATTCTTAACATTTAAGTTTGTACACGTTTATTCTTAACATTTAAGTTGTCTGTATATTATATAATACATGTAATTGTAACTAATATAATTAATTTGTATTTAATTCTATATATAATGAAAATATAATAAAAATGACATATAATTTAAATTTAATTCAAATTATTTATTTAATTATTAATTTTCAGCATCTTGCAATTATTGATATATCCGAAAATCTTGAAGAATTATGTAAAATGAGAGCTGAACATCCAGCTCAATCATTAATTTTTATTAAAATGGATGTATCAAATCGTAAAGGAATTGAAGCATCATATGAAGAAATAATTAAAAATATTGGTCATATTGATATTGTTATTAATATTGCTGGAATATTTAATGATTTAGATGTACAACGTACAATTGAAGTTAATATTGTAAGTTTCTTGTATCATTACGAGTATTATTATGGTTGTATATCAGAAGTTAAATATTTTGTTTTGTTTATATAGGGTGGTATAATTAATTCTACACTAGCAGCCATGGATCATATGTCATTTGAAAAAGGTGGTAAAGGTGGTATAATTTGTAATATGTCATCAGTTGTTGGATTAGATCCAATGTTTTTAATGCCAGTCTATGCTGGTACTAAACATGCTGTACTTGGTTTTACACGAGCTTTAGCCGTTAGTTATTTTTTATTTTTAATATAATAATTAGTTTTTCTGTTCTAATTAATTTTTTCTTCTACTTTTAGAATGGATATTTTACTGAAAAAACTGGAATAAAATTTTATGTTGTTTGTCCCGGTGCAACAATTACACAAATGTTTACAAATTTTACAGAAAAAATTATTGATCCAGAAATGGGTGATGAAGCATATCGTGTTTTAGATCGATTACATAAACAAAGGTATGTGATGAATTTTATATTTGCAGTGATATTTCATGCACTTGATTTTTAAAGTGTACTATAATATATAAATATGAATAGCCATTACTTTATAATATAAATGGAATTTTATATTATAGTTCAGCTGATGTTGCACGTTGCATTATGGTATCATTGGAAAAAAGTCAAAATGGTTCTGTTTGGATAATCGAAAATAAACAATTGTATCCAATAAAAATGCATAAATATTGGGATCATATTGCTGAAAAACTGGCATAAGAAATTTTATTTGTCTACATATTTATTTAAATATAAGAATTTTATTTGAATATGTTTTATATATCAAATATAATATGTGTTATACATTGTTCTATTCGATATTATTTTTGAATATGAAATATATTATTAATTTTTTTATAATTTTAAACATTTATAATAAATATTGCGTTAGTTATTATTGCACAAAAAGTTTTACATATATAATTTTTAATAATTTTGTATTTCTTTATAATATTTGTATTATTCTTACTGTTATATACAAAGAGTAATTTAAAATATACATAAATATTATGCATATTATATCTTGTAAGCAATAAAAAAAACATATTGGAATTTTATTAATCATGTATTTAGGTAATTTATAAAATAATATTAATTTTCAGGAATGTTTTTATGTTTAAATATTTATTTGACTTAAATTAAAATCTAACGCTATCTTACGGCAACTTAAATTTTAATCTCTTCAATGTCAACTCCAATTTATTAAAGTTTATAATTTAACAAATCATATTAAACAAAAGTTTTGAGTTTTGACCATACCGATGGCTTTATTCTCAAAATTCACAGCTAATAAAAGTTTTTTTTTTGTAATTTTAGAAAGTTGCAATTATTGATATTGCAGAGAATCCAGAAGCAATTTGTCATATAAGAAATCAATACGAAAATCAAATTTTAATATTTATAAGAATGGATGTTTCAAATAGAAATGGAATTGAAAATGCTTATAAAGAAATTATGAATAATTTTAAAACATTGGATATTGTTGTAAATGTTGCTGGAATATTTAATGATAAAGATGTTAAACGTACAATTGATGTTAATGTTGTATGTATTACTTGAAAATATATATTGGCATTTATATGTAATATTTGTAATATTCATTCATTGTTGTTATGTACGTAATTTCAATAATTATATTTTGGATAATATGGCATGTGATGTCATAAATTATGTGGTGACATGCATAATGACAATCGTATGACAATAGTCTGTCAACATATTACATTACTTAACATAAACATAATATGCACATAAATAAGAAATTAATTATAAAAATTTTATGAAATTAAAATTTAATATAGGGTGGTGTTGTTAATTCAACATTTGTAGCAATGCAGCATATGTCTAAAGAGAATGGTGGTAAAGGAGGTATCATTTGTAATATGTCATCAGTTGTTGCATTAGATCCACTATTTTTATTACCAGTTTATTCAGCTACTAAATGTGCAATACTTGGCTTTACAAGAGCCTTAGCAGTAAGTAACTACTTCCATAATTCTATATACATAATACATTTTGTTATATAAATTAAAAAAAAAAAAATATTGTGTTAGCCATTAAAAGACGAAATTATATTTTTATTTTATTTTAGAATGGTTATTTTTATGAGAAAACTGGAATAAAATTTTCTATTGTATGCCCAGGTGCAACAATTACACCATTATTTAATAATACTCCAGATAAAGTATTAATACCAGATTTAGAACCGGAATCATATCGTTTATTAGAAAAAATGCCTAAGCAAAGGTATTAGTGTATTAAATTAATTTTAATTGCTTTGAAGCCCTTTCGAATTATTTTAACATTCTAAAAAATACATATTTACTTAAATAGTCATTAAAATTTTAATTTTTTAATAATTTTATTTTAGTTCAGCTGATGCAGCTCGTGGTATTATAGGTGCATTACAAAAAACTGATAATGGTTCAGTATGGATAATTGAAGAGAAGAAGCTTATACCAGTTCAAATGGAAAAATATTGGGATAATGTTACAAATAAATTGGCTTAAGAATTATTCCCAAATTATTATGTGCAATTAGTATTAAGAAACTCAGTTGCGAAAATATTTAAATATCGCACAATTTGGTGTAATAATTATGTACCTACATACTTATATTTTTTTTTTCAAAATGTAAACATTTTTTTCTGTTAAATAAAGCATAAAAATTTATTTTTATTTTGCAAACAAAACCATGTACCAAATATAATTTTCGAATTATATCTTGATCCTTTTTGATAAAATGTAAAAACTTCAGTATATTTTCGATCTATAAGAATTATCTTAATGAAATAATTAATGTTTAATGACATGGATTTTAGTAGATGTGCAAGTTGGTATTTGTTTAGAATGTGACGGTAGTAAGTGGTTTGGTAAATTATTTTAAATTTTTTGTTTAAGGTAAGTTTACGGCAGAGGTCTTGAAATTTAAAACTTTTGCTTGACATTTTCTTCATAATCGTGTTTGAGAAGCATCTAAATCCTAAAATAATAAATAGTTACATAAAACTTTTTAAATATAAGTTCTAAGTGTGTTACCTTTGGAGAGATCTGTGTTTGAGAGAACTTTTTAAATTTAATTTGGATATTCTACTAGCATTTCAGAACTTCACCATTCTATTTGCGCTCTTGTAGAATTTTCGAAATTCAAGAAGTTAAATTATGTATGAGATCAACGTATATGATTGATTATTGTATAGAAAAGGAAAATACCTGAGGCATATACGGCACTCCTTTAGAAGCAGCAGAATATTACGAAATAAAGGATATACATTCATTTTACATGAAATAAAACACAATAAAATCATTTTTTTTTCACTTTTCAGTCTATTTGTCTATTTTTATTTTTGACAAAAATCATTTAAATATTCTCGTAATTTTTATAACCTTTTTTTTTTTTTTGAGTTTTTTTTAATAAGTTTTTTTTTTATAATTTTTTTTTAAGTTTTTTTTTTTACTTTACATTTTACAATAAAATTTTTTTAATATTTTTCAATTTTTTTATTTTTTTACTTTTTTTTTGGTTTGTTTAAGTTTTTCTTTCATCAATTTTCATTTTTTTTTTAATAATAATTTTTTTTCTGGTGTAATTTAATTACTTTAATTTTCTTTTGTTTTTTTTCTCATTTAATTTGTTTATCTTATTTTTTTCCTTTCTGTTTTAACTTAATTATGTTTTTTAATTTCAATATAAGTTTTTTATATATAATTTTCTTTATTCATTTCTTTGAATTTTTTCTTTTTACATTTACATTTCATATCTGTCGGTTTTTTTTTTATTATTTTTTTTTTTCATCTTTTTAAATTTTAATATTAAATTATTAAATAATTTTTTTTTCCAGTTTTGTTAATTTTTTTATTTTTTTTTTTTAATTTTTATTTAAGTGTTTATAAAAATTTTCTTAGAAAACTTTCAAGAAAAAAATTAATAAATAAATTTAGGAATATTTTAATAAAAAAAAAAAATAAGTTTAATTAAAAATAGAAAATGGATTTTTAATTTCAAAATAAAATTAACTTAAATAAAATTTATTTGTTTATATATTATTAATTAATTTGAATAAAAATTTTAAATAATAATTTAATTTATATAAATATTATATTTATGTAATTTATCTAATAAATTCATGTATAAATATACACACATTATATTTGTTTTATTTATTTTATAATTTAAATATTATTAAGTGTCATTTAAAATTTGGCAATATTTTTATTGTTTTATTTTTCATATTTTTTTTTTTTTGTGTAAAAATCGTGACTTCAAAAATACTGCAATACAATATTATTTATGTACTCAAACCATTATATACCGTAGCAAACAATAATCTGTTATATATTTATATCGCATTAGTGAAAATTTTGAAGACAAGGAAAATTTGATATTTAGTGCATTCAATATCTTTATAAATCTTACTGTTATCTTAGAATAAAATTATTTCCCACATTGCATGTTATACGGTCGCTAAAATTATTATTATAGCACTTTGTTACTTTATCTTATTATTTTTGTGTGTAGTTGTTTTTTTACACGACATAGAGGTATGATGTTAATTATACCTCTACGGTATAATTAAATAATCAATAATATATTATAAAGTTCAAATTATATATATATTTTTTTTGTAGTAAATAAGAAATGCAAACAAGTAAATCATTAAAATAAAAAAAAAAAACAAAAATTTTCTGATTTAAAAATTGCAATATGTTATTAATACAAAAATTCAATTTATGAATTGTCTAATTGTTGTATTGTTTAGAAGTACAATATTATATTACATTTTTGAAGTCATTGATTTTAAGTATTTTTATTACTATATAATTATAATCATAAATATGTATATTTATACATTAGTATTATTATTAAGATTTTGAAAATGTAATACTAAATATTATTTTATAAATATTTCGTATGTACAGTCAAACCTTTATAATACGAACTTTTTTAAGAAGATATTCTCTTCTATAGCATGAATTATCATAACATAGATTTTAACATAACGCTCTCTAACATAAATTACTTAATAATGATAGAAAAATTTTTATTCGTATTATGAAAGTTCAACTGTATGTATACGCATATATTCATAATATTAGTATACATTACATATGTATATACACATATAAATATTTATAAATAACAAAATTTAATATTTATTTATCTGGTTAGTTGATTGCCCTATTATCGATGCGGCAGGTTTACCACAACTGAATTAAGACAAATGTATCGTTTTGATACTACCACCACGTGGTGAATTTATTTATCTACTTGTTTTAGTTTTTCTTATTCTTTTTAATATAGAAAATATTATTTGTATTCATATTTATTCAAAAATTAAAATAAATATTGAGAAAAAATAATAATAATAAATAAATATTAAATTTTAAAAAAATATTAAATTAATATTTATTAAATTTAATTTAATAAAATTAAATATTGTTAATTATACTAAATATATAATAATTAAATAAAATTTTAAAATAAGGGGGAAAAAGAAAAATTTGGTTTTAAAATTAGGATTAAATAATTCTAGTGGTATGAGAAAATTGAATTAATTTTTTTTGTTTTTTTTTTCTTATAGTTTTAAAAAATATTAAAATATTTGATATTTAATTTTGTTCATTAATTTTTTTTTTAAATGTTAAATTAAAGAATTTTACAAAAATTTAAATTTTAATTTAATTAATTTTTTTTTTTCTCTTTTTTCTTATATTTTTTTTTGTTTTCTCATTTTTATTAATTTAACATTATACTTATTGTTAATTTATAAATTAATTATATATATGTATATATATATGCATATTTATATATATATATATATTCATATATATATGCATAGTTATATATATATGTAATAAATGTTTTTTAATATTTAAGTATATACGCCTTTTTTTACATACACATATATTTTTAAATAAATAAATACATATATTTCATATACATGCATATATATATATATATATATATATATATATATATATATATATATATATATTTTTACACATATTAATTATATATATGCTTTGTTTTTTTTTAATTTAATTTAATTAATTAATCATAATTATAATATCATAAAAAAATTGTTTTGCGTTTTATTTAAATGGTACAAAAAAAGAAAACGCACACGAAAAAATTTGATAAAATATTTTTTAAATTTTTTTCTTTTTTTTTTGTTTTACTTTTATTTAAAAGGTACAAAATGTGTATGAATTATTTTTTATTTAATTATTTTAATAATAATAATAATTTTTTTTTTTTGGTTTTTTTTCTATATATTTATAATAAACATTTTTTTTTATAATAATTATTTAATTTTTTATTTTTTAATTAATTTTGTTTTTATTAAATGATTTATTTATTTTTTTTTTTGTTTTCTCTTTTTTTAATTTACATAGGTAATTTTCTTTTAAGGTTTTTAAGGTTTCTGTTTTTTTTTGTGTTTTTATTTTTTTAAATAATTGTTTAAATTTTTTTCTTTTGTTGTTTTTTTTTTTCTTTGATAATAAGTTTCACTTTTTTCTCTGTTATACAATTTCGTTTTTCTGTTATACAATATACTTTGTTTTGTTATATTATATACTTATATATTTATTTTTTAAATTAATATTTCTTGTTTTCCTTCTTCTCTTTTTATTTGTTTGCTTGTTTTTCTCTATTTTTTTTGTTTAATTAATTAATTAATTTAAAAAACAAACTACAAAGAAGGAATTTTTAATTTTGTTTTTATTTGCATATTAAAATTGTATTTTGTTTGTTAATAGTTTTTATAGTGTTGTTTGTTTTATATATATGAATGTTATTTGTTTATATAATTCTTGTTATTCAAAATTTAATAATAGTTTTTTTTTCTTGTATTTTTTGCTATTTCGTGGTTTTTTGTTTTTTTTAATAATTTTAAATTTTAATAAATAAAATATAGCAAATTTTGCTTTTTATTTTAATTAGTAAATTTTTAAATTTTTATAATATTAAGTAATAATTATAATAATTATTTATTATTAAAAAAAAAAACAAATTTAATAAATGAAAATAATTGAATAAGTAACTGAAAATAATGTGAAGAAAAAACGAATGAAAAATTTTGATAAAAGATTTATTACAATTTTTGTGTTCACCTATATACTGCTAGTCGCATTTCACTTGAAATGATTGGATATTCTTTAAACCTATTTTGGTTTTCATTATAGAATTCGAAGTTTCATAATTGATTTTATTCAAAAAATTACAAAAATTTTTGAATAACAACCCATAAAGGGATGCGACAAACGAATATAGGTGATTAGTTTCGTTTTAACTTTTCTTTTACTTTAAAAATTTTTTGTTGTCAAAATTCAATTTAAATTTCATTGTTTTTATTATTATATACCAACAATTTTACTTTAGTAAATTTTATTTAAGTTTTTTTTTTAAATAGCTATAAGGACTTTTTAAATTTTCATAATGGTAATAATGAATTTTGTTTTGCTATATAGATTATAAAATGTTTTGAAAAACATTCTCTTGTTTTTATTTCGTGTTTTGTTATCTGTGTTTTGTTGGGATTATTAAAAGATAAAAATGACAAAATTTGCACATCTGAGAGTATTATTTTATAATTTATCATAAGTGACAATTTACAAGTCAGAAACTGAATTTTGGAGTTATTCCATTGTTACAGCATATGAGCGTTGTGTACGTTATAATTTGGTTCGTTTTTTTTGGAAAATGTT